GGAAAACTTGCATGCTTCATGTACTGCTGAAGGGGATACAAAATGATGCCACCACTTCAGAAAAGAGTCTGGCAGTCTCTCAAATGGTTAAAAAATAGAATTATTATATGCTCCAGCAATTTCACTCCCAGTTATGTTTGCACCAGCAGTGTTTACACAAAAACTTGTAGAAGAAAGTTCATAGCAACAGTATCCATAATCAAAAAGTGAAAACAACCAAAATCTCCATCAAATGATGAATGGATAAATAAAGCACAGTATATACGTACAATGGAATATTATTCAGCTGGAAAAAGGAACTACTGATACGTGCTACAACATGACTGAACCTTGAAAACATTATGTTAAGCAAAAGAAGCCAGCCCTAAGAGGCCACATGTAATATGATTCCATTTATCTAAGATGTCCAGAAGGAGTAAATCTATAGATACAGAAAATAGGTTAGTGGTTTCCAGGTGCTAGGGGAAGAGGGCCTGGGGAGTGATTGAGTAATGGGTACCGAATATTTATTTTGGGTTTATGGGAATGTTCTAAAATTAGATTACAGTGATGGTTACACAACTATGTGAATATACTAAAAGAAAGAAAACAACAAAACCTTGCATTATACACTTTAAATGGCTGAAATAAGGGTGTGTGAGTGACTCAGTTGGGCATCTAACTCTTGATTTCGGCTCAGGTCATGATCTCAGGGTCGTGAGATTGAGCCCTATGTCAGGCTCCATGCTGGGCATGGAGACTGCTTAATATTCTTTCTCTCCCTCTTTCTCCGCCCCTCTCCACCCCACCACCCACTCGCACTCTCTTTCTATCTCTCTCAAAAATAAAAATAAAAAATAAATGGTGAAATATATGGTATGTGAATTATATCTCAGTTAAAGTCTGACCCATAAAAGAGTCAAACTTTAAAGATATTAGAGGGTATCATGGGAAAACCACAGTCCATTTGTTTCATACCCGTTTATACAGTAGTGCTTAGACCAGTGAAATTTTCAGCAAAGGTTGTCAAGGGATGGGAGCTTTCTTCTTTTCTAAATCTTGCCAGTTTTCCCAAGCTTCTCCCAGCCCTAAGAGCAGCATCTTTTGTAGGAATGGTGAATTGACTCAGTCTTTGATGGAAAATGTCTATATTTCACACTGACTCTTGAGTGATAGGTGAGCAGTGTGTAGGATCAGAGGTTCACAGTTTTGCTCCTGAAGGACTGTGTGAGCTAGGTTGTATCTCTTCTGACTCTATCACTTCTGCCCTGGAGGGCTCAAGAGTTTATTGGTTTAAAGGGGAAATCAGGGCCACTTTTTCAGGACCTCAGACTTTATGAGCTTCAAATATTGGCTGCTGTTGGGTGGCAAATTTGTTCAGGGGCACAGGGTAAAGCTTCTCAGCGGCCATCTGGCTCAGAATAACAAAGCCATGTATACATAGTGGAGTGTGGCTCTGGAGCCTAGTGGCTTGTGTTCAAATCCCTACTCTGCTACTTTTTAGCTCTAGAGCCTTGAGCCAGTTACTTAACCTCTCTGTACCAGAGATTCTCAGTCTGGAAAATAAGGTTAATGAGAGCACCCTTCCTCTCACAGTTGTTTTGAAGAGGGCATGGGACAATGCAGGTAAAGAAATTAGTCCAGATCTTGGGACCCTGGTCAATGCTCAATAGATACTCATATTAAATGTGGCTTTTGCCAGTCTTCAGTCAAGAATTTTCTTTTAGATCTTCCTCCACAGTTTAAATAGAACCCCTGAAGAGACCAGATGCTAAAGAGGTCCCAACCAACCCTACCCTCCACTTGGCCCTGAGGATGTTGTAATTATTCTGGTTGGAGAATGAGGTTGAGAGGAAAAGGTCCTGTATTTGGGCTGATCTGATCAAATTAGTCCAGTGCCACAGGATCTTGTCTGGGCCCAAAGTGAGACTTGAAGTTCCAGAAACAGAAGCATCCATCACTAAGTGACAGTCCAAGTCTATATTTGCCTGGAGAAAGTGGTCTTTAAGAGAAGACTTTATATACTCTTGGTCCCTGAGGAGCAGAAACAGAGACCAGTTGGTGGATGGGAGAATGGCAAGAAGGTAGAGGAACAGGACAGGGTGACACTTGCTCTCCCCACCACCTATGCGGCCGCCTAGGACTAGGTAGTGGTTTCAAAGAGATCTGTGGACTTAACGGTGCCTCACAGGGCAGGGATAGAGACATGGGGATGGGAGCTGGAGGTTGGGTCTGATTAGAAGACTGGGTGGCTTTAGTATGCCAGCACTGAGCTGGAACAAGGGGGAGTGGTTTGTGGCCTCAGAGATATTGGCATAGGAAGCAGCTGAAGCCACTCTTCTCCCATGGGCCTCACTGAGATACAGGGTTAAAAGCAATGCTTCAGTGTCCAGGTGACAAAGGGGCAGCGTGTGACACAGACGGGAGAGGGGAATTACTACCACCACCACCCACAGTCCAATCCCCACCCCTGTGAACCATCAGTGACTTTGGCCAAAGCTGCCAGTAGGGATGGCGGCCCCATTTCCTGCCCTACCCCAGCAGGGGCTTCTATATTCCCACAGCCAGAGGCACCCACCAGCAGCTGGGGCAGAGGAGCCATCCTCATGTGGCAAAATGGACAGCTGAGAGTCATGAGGCAGGGTGGGAACTGGAGAACAGGAGCAGAGGACTACCTCGGAACACAGGAAGCTGCCAGGGTCTTCCACAGATCCCTGGAGGAAACATTCAAGGGCTTGAAGTTGTGTAGCACACAGGTGGGGACAGGGGCCGGTGCCGTATGAGTTTTTACTGCTTATGTGACTTTATTTTTACCCACGGGCCAGCGAGGCTTGGAGAAACTTAAAACACCAGTTTACAGCAGACAAAACTGTCTCAAGTACTTGGGCATATGATAGCCCAGCTCTATGTAGAGGCTGAGTGGCTCTTGAAACATTTCTAAATATAAGCTTTGGGGTGGGTAGAGGAGCAGGCATTGGGCTGTGGCAGTGTCTGATTGGGCTTCTTTTGTTCCATTTATCTCTAGTGACATTTACTTAAAGAAGAGGGGAGGCAAAAGGGAAGGGGAGAAACACAGGGAGGAAAATAAAGAAAAGAATCAGGGGATTTCCAGTTAGAAAATAACTAGTCTCAGGGATGAAAAGTATGGCCTAGGGACTGTAGTCAATAATATCATAATGATGTTGTATGGTGAGTCCACTCACTGTGATGAGCCCTGAGTAATGTACAGAATCACTGAATCATTATGTCATACACCCAAAAGTAATATAACACTGTACATCAACTGTACTTCAATGATAAAATGTTCTTTAAAAAGAATTGTTATTGTTCTCCGTGTTCATGGCTATAAGAAAATCAGTTTGGGGATGCCTGGGTGGCTCATTCGGTTCAGTGGACCGCTCTTAATTTCGGCTCAGGTCACGATCTCAGGGTCATGAGGTCGAGCCCCACGTCAGGGTCTACTCTGGGCAGGGAGCCTGCTTAAGATTCTCTCTCTCCCTCTCCCTCTGCCCCTCCCCTCCTTCTCTCTCCCTCTCTTAAAAAAAAAAAGTTTCAATTTTAAGACATTTTCTTTCCCACATACATTTTCCAGACACCAACTGTGATTCGGTACATTCATTTCTATTTCAGTAGAGAGTAAGCTTGACTGTGCTTTGCTGAGCTAAGAGCTGTGAGCCAACGGGACCAGAGAAGAGGGGAAAGCTGGTTCTCCTGAGGCCTGCTGCCTCCCTACCCTCGAATTTGGGTTTCCCAACTCATTGTCCCCTCTTTTCTCCAGGGACAACAGCACTGTTGATTGACACATCCACAGGCAGCCCTGAGAGCCAGGTTCTTATCTGTATGACCATGGGGCCACTAATTTGTCTGCCAATCTTTGTTTTTTTTCTGAGAATCATTTTCCTCTTCCTGGAATCAGACCCAATATTTAGGGTAATGGAGCAGCCAACTAGAGTCCTCAGAGAGTATTTGGTGCCTGTCCTCTCTTTCCATCCCTGCTGCCCCAGCCCTTGCCCGAGTCAGCCAGCAAGTCGGTCACCTGTACTATTATGACAGGGGACTCAGAACTGCTCTCAACCACTTCCCCTATTCTGCCTCCAAACTGTCGCCAAAGTAACTTTCTAAAATGTGTTTCTCATCATGCCACTCCTACTGTTTTTTTAAAGATCTTTGAGTAACCCAGTTACGTGGGCTATTATTAAATAAATAAATTAGTATCTGCTAGTATCAGAGTCCCCATTATCCCAATTTCTTGTCTTCATGGTCTTTACCATGATTTCAGTCTATCTGACTTATGGCTTTTCTTGCTTATCACTCCATCCACTGGAACAGAGCTTTCATTCTGTCGGGGTTTTTATCTGCCTGTCCTTAAAACAGTGGCTGACACATGTTAGATAACCAATATCGATTGAATGAAGGACTCTGTGAATCAAATTCTGTCAGCCATGGTTTTTTCTTTTTTTTTTTTCCAATAAATGAACTTTATTGACTTTTACGATTACAAATGTAATACATGCTTACTGTGAGAATCTGGAAAGTACAGAGAAGTAGAAAGAGGAAAATAAGAACACCCACAATCCCACCACCTGAAGGCAAACACTGCTCATAGAATGTTCTAACTATCTATGCCTGTTTAAAGACCAAGAACTTTATCAAGAGTGCTGGTCACAAAGCACAATAGCCAAGGGGAGCGGCGGGGGCACTTAATCACTGAGGGAGCCACCAAGATCAGAGATAACAATTTGACACCAAGGAACAAAACAGGGGCCATAGACGAAAGATCAAGAAGTCAGAAGTTGACAACACAAGAACAAGTTGGGTTATGATAAGAGTGTAGTGAGATACTGCTTGTCAATTAGCCCAGTACCAGTCATGTAATACATAATCAATACATGTTAGCCACTACTGTGATTACTATTGTGGATCAAAACAAATGGTTTAAGATGGAGACTATAAACAGGGCAAGGGCCCTGGAGACCCATCTTAGGTGCATGATTTGAGGCATATAAAAAGAGTGGTTTAGGAGTGGGCATCACTCTCTTTACAGGCTCCCCTGCCCGGTGAAATAGGACCAGGTCTTCCTTACGTTTGCCTGATGACACATGGCAAGACACTCTAAGGTGTTTTGGAGGTAGGACATGGTTTATCCTGCCTAGACTTTTCTCTCGACCAGGAATTAGGACTGGTCTTGACGGCAATAGGAGTTCAGAACCTCATACACCAAACACTCTCAAAGTCCACACTTCTGATTGTCAGGACAGGTCATAGGCATGTGGGGTAAAAGAGAAGGTCAAGTCAGACATCAGGAAGTTACAAGGGGCTGGGGGATTGTGCTTGGAGCGGGGAGGCTGAAGGAGGAAGGCCACAAGGTTTATGATGTAACTGAATGGAATGGGTCCAGGAACCAGTCCTCAAGTTAGCAGCGGAGTCAGACATCACAGGAGAAGATTCCAGAAAGCATTACTTGTTGGTGGGGGCCTTGTGATGGCCTGTGCTCTGTCGAAGGTGGTCATGCAGACCCTCTTGAGGGTCTCCATGCTCTTTCAGGTAGTAACAGCGTTTGGGAACATGCTGGTGCTGGGAGTGAGAAAAACAGACAGACAAAAACCAGCAGAGGTAAGAGCCACACTTACTATGATGCTAAGGGGGTTCTGCCTGGATAACGTCAGTAACTAAGCAGTTCAAGAAACTTGGCTAACATACCACATGCTCATAACATGTGACTGAGGACTAGGCTGGCCAGATTCCCTAGTGACCTGGGTCCACAACACATGTGCCTGTAGGTAGGACTCAGCTCCCCCCAAAGATGATGCCTCCCTTGGGATAATTGGAGAGTTGGGCCCCAGGTGGTTCCCTCATAATCAGAAGACTTAGACCTTTAGCCATCCCAGCCCCTCCCGGCCCCCAGGAACTTGGGCAGGGGCGTTGCTTCAAAGTGGTTAATATGCCCCCAATCACTGCATAGCCAGGCCACCGATGAAACTCCGAGTTGGGGGTTGTGGGCTAGAAGTTCAATGCCTCCCACTCACCTCTTCCTTATTCTACCCAAAGGAGCAGGATGCATTCCCCATCACCCCTCACCACTGCCCTTGAGTGTGTTTCCCCCATCATTACCTCTTCAGTCTGCTGATAGGAGTTCAGTTCATTCTCCATTGCCTCCTCATTATTCCGCTTACAGGCTGACAGCAGAACCTGGCCGGAGCTGCCCGGGGAATCCTCCTCGGCCAGCTGGCACTCGGTGTACAGGGACCTGTCTATCAGCTCCTTTAGGCTGCCAGCCACCTTCAGGAAGATCCGGCCCATTTTGGTGGTAACGGCTTCTGAGAGTCCTTCCAGAAACCTGGTCCGTAGAATGGCATCAGACCAAGACAAATGTCGGGCCAGCAGCAGGAAGTCAGTGGCGTACTGCCTGACTGACTTCTGGCCCTGCTTGGGATGGCAAAGAACGGCACTGAGGATGTCTATCTCGGACAGGGAGTCATATAAGCCCTGTGATCTGCTCAGGAAAGATCTGTTTTCATCGGAGAGGGGGTTGCCTACCTCCATCTGCAAGATGGACCACCTCTCTGCTGCCCCCAGATGAAGGGACACCAGAAATGCCATTTTCTCAGAGTCATTCAAAAAGCCCTTCATTTGCTTCTCCTCATCGACCTCCATCTCCTCCTCCACAGAGCATGAGCCCCGGGCTGCCTCCTGCTCTTCTAAGAGGTAACAGAGTGCTGGGGTCAACATGCCAAAGGATGGGACTTCCTGTGGTGTTGGCTTCCTTGTTTCGGCTGTTGTGGCAGTTGTGTGGGGTATGGACTTTGATCCAGATGCTGTGACATTGATGTGAGAGGCAGAGGTTTCTCCAGAATCCATGGCTTTGATTTCCAGAGTGGTCATCACTCCGGAGGCTGTGGCTGCCATCTGGGGCGTGGACAGGGCTCCCGGGACTGGGCCCCTCACTGGTGGCACAGACATCCCTCCAGGCGCTGTGGCTCTCAGAATTGGCGTGGACATCATTCCAGAACCTGAGGCTCTCATTGGCGGCACAGGCATCCCTCTGGAAGTTGCGTATGTGGTTTGTGGCAAGGACGTAGATCCAGAACTCGTGACTCTTGTTTGGAGTGTGAACCCTGTCCCAGAGGCCATGCTTTTCATTAGCGGCACAGACATGTCTCCAGAAGCCATGGCTGACATCAATGGCATGGGCATAGTTCCAGGGTCTGTGGCTCTCGTTAATGGCTTGGACATCCCTCCAGAGGCCATAGCTGTCATTTGTGCAGGGGCCATCTTTCCAGAGGCTGGACCTCTCAATATTTCTGCAGATACAGCTTCGGAGGCTGAAGGTCTCCTTAGTGGTACGGACACGATTCCAGAGACTGGGGCTCTTACCAGTGGCGGGGACATTATCCCAGAGGCTGGAGCTCTCATCGATAGTGTGCACATCTCTCTGGAAGCTGCGGGCATTATTTGCGGTGCAGACATTGCTCCAGAGGCTGGGCTTCTCATCAGTGGCAGGGACACCCCTCCAGAGGCCGTGGCTATCATTTGAGGCATGGACATCGCTTCACAGGCTGTGGATCTCATCAGGGGTGTGGACATGGCTCCAGGGACTGGAGCCATCATTTGTGGCATGGGCATCATTCCAGGGACTGAAGCTGTTATTTGTGGAGTAGACATTGCCCCATACACTGGGACTCTCAGAGATGTGGCCATCTCTCCAGAAACTGGGGGTCTCATAAGTGGTGGGGACATCTCTCCAGAGGATGAAGCTCGGGTGAGCGGTGCAGACATCTCTCCAGGGTCTGGGGCTCTCATTAGTGGTGTGGGCAGCACCCCAGTGGCTGGGGCTCTCATTTTGGGTGTGGACATCATTTCTGAGGCTCGGGTTTGCATCTGCAGTGGGGAGACCCCTCCAGAGGTCATGGATCTCATGAAGGACATGGACATCCCTCCAGAGTCGTGGGTGCTCATTGGCTGACCGGGCATCTTTCCAGAGGCTGTGGCTCTCATTAATGCTGTGGGCATCGCTCCAGGGCCTGGGGCTCCCATTAGAGGCATGGCCATATTTCCAGAAGCTGCAGCTGTCATTTGTGGTGTGGACATGTCTCCAGAGGCCGGGGCTCTCATTAGTGGTGTGGACATCCCCGCAGAGGCCGTGTCTGTCATCTGCCGCATGGACCTAACTCCAGAAGCGGTGTCTCTCATTAGCACTGTGGAGATGTCTCCAGAAGCTGTGGTTGTCATTTGCTGCATGTACATTGCTTCTGAGGCTTTGGATGTCGTTAGTGGCTTGGACACTGTTCCCGAGGCCGTAGCTCTCATTTGTGGCAAGGACATCACTCCTGAGGCTGTGTCTCTCATTAGCAGTGGTGACATGTCTCCAGAGGCTTTGGCCGTCATCAGTGTGGTGGACATTGCTCCAGAGGCTGAGGCTCTCATTTGTGGCACAGCTGTCACTCCCGAGGCTGTGGCTCTTCTCTGTGGCACAGACATCGCTCCAGAGACAGGGGCTCTCATTGGCAGTGTGGACATAGGTCCAGAGGCTGGGGCAGACAGTTGTAGCATGGACATTGTTTCAGAGGCTTGGACTGTCATTGGCTGTGTGGACATAGCCATAGAGGCTGGGGCTCTCCTTAGTGGCGTGGACATCATGGCAGAGGCTGGGGGTCTCATTCGCGGCGTGGACATTGCCCCACCAGCTGTGGCTTTCGTTAAGCCTGTAGACACCACTCCAGAAGTTCTGGCCATGGTTAACTGTGTGGACATCACTCTAGAGGCCGCGGTTGACATTTGCTCCGTGGACATGGCTCCAGAGGTTGTGTCTGTCATTAGTGGAGCAGACATGGCTGGAGAGTCTGGGACTGGCTTTAGCAGTGCTGGCATATTGCCAGAGGCTAGAGCTTTCATTCGTGGTATGGACCTCGCTCTCGGGTCTGAGGCTCTCGTCGGTCCTGCAGACATCCCTCCAGACATCCCTCCAGTGGCTGCTGCTCTCATTGCTGGAGTAGACATGATTTGAGGGTCTAGATTTTGTGTTAATGGTGGGGGCATCACTCCAGAGTCTTGGGCTGACATCAGCTGGCTGGGCATCACTCCCGAAGTTAAGGCTGTCATGATCAGTGGGGACATGGCTTCAGTGTCTGGAGCTACCTTAGGCAATGTGGACACCTCTCCGGCATCTGGGACCGCCAGGACTGATGCAGACATTGCTCCAGAACCTGGCGCTGACATTATCGGTGAAGACCCTACTCCGGGATCTGTGCCAGACATTAGCTGGGTGGAGATTTCCCCAGAGTCTTGGGTGCTCATTGGCTGGGTTGACGTTGTTTCCGAAGCGAGGGCTGACATTATCAGTGAGGATAAGGCTTCAGAGTCTGTGCCTGACATTAGCAGCGAAGATATCTCTCCAGAGGCCAGAGCAGTCATTAGGACTTTAGACATTGCTTCAGTGTCTTCATCAGTAATTTGCAATGGTGACATTACTTCAGAGCTTGGAGCTGGCATTGGCTGCTGTGTGGACATCACTCCAGGATTTATATCTGGCATTAGGAGTGGAGATATCTCTCCAGAATCTGGGGCCAGCATCAAGGGTGTGGACATCGCTTCAGAGACTGGAGTGTTCATTATCGGTGCAGACATCGCTCCAGAGGATGAAGCTGGCATCGCCAATGGTGATATCTCTGCAGAATGTGGTGTGGTCATTAATGCTGTGGACATTGTTCCAAAGTCGGGAATTGTCATCAGCCCCGGGGACATTAATCCATAGTCTGAAGTGGACAGCAATGGGGAGAGTGTTCCAGAATCTGAGGCTGGCATGAGCAAGGGGGACAGCACTTCCGCGTCAGAAGCTGGCATGAGCAATGGGGACAGTGCCCCGGAGTCCGAGGCTGGCATCAGTGATGGGGACAGTGCTCCAGCGTTTGATGCTCCCATCAGAGGTGCAGACATGGTGTCAAAGGCTGGGGATGTCATCAACTGTGCAGACATCCCTCCGGGGTCTGACGCTGATGTGGAGACTGTAGGCTGTACTTGAGACTGTAAGATCTGGACCTCTGCTCTGGTCTCTATTATTGGTCCAGAGAAGGTCGTCCCCCTGTTCTGGGGCTCGACATTTTCCTCCCTCAGCATACTGTTGAATCGGAGTGAGCTTAAAGGTATCGACATGTCGGCCATGGCCACAAGATCAAGATCGTCTAGAAAGAGTCCCTAAAGTGATGAGATCAAGGAGTCGTGCTGAAGCCCAAATGGCAAGAAAATCTGTAAACAGGAAACAAGTTTGGTAGTCAAAAGCCAGTATCAAAAAGATTGGGAGATAGACCAATGACTCGCGACGGGGACCTTTTCCGCGCGTTGCCAGATACGTGGCACCAGAGATGGGCCTATCAAGTTAAAGGAGCTGTGCGACCGCGAACGGACTTAAAGCTGGAGCAAAGATCTCTTCCAGCCCTATTCTTTTCAAACCAAATCACTCAGTCCCAGAGCCCAGCACAGCACAGCCTCTCCATTTCTAAATTTATAAATGCCAGCTAGCTCCGGAGCCAGGAGCCTCGGCGTCCCAGAACAAATGAAGCGGCAGCGCCACCTGGTGGGAAACTGTGAGAAGTGCAGTCTCCCTCTCCCACCAGAGCACTCACAGCCAAGGCACTGGGGGACCTGCAGGAGAAAGCTTTTTGCCCCGGGGCTGATCATTAGTACTTAGGGCTCACTGAGTCCTGCCCAGGGGTTTAATCCCCATTTTGCTACTGTGATGGTCCTGAAGGTCCCTCTCAGGAAAAAGCAAGGCATTTATCTGATCCATGGGCTGAAAATCCTCTTTAATATCACAGCATTTTGTGAACCAAAAATCCTGTCTATTATCATTTTTATTACTGACAAACGCAGCAACCACTACGACTACCATGGGTTGCTCACTTAGTGTGTTCCAGGCACTACACTTAGGCAACTGCACACAAACTCCAAACTGCCTAGAAGGTACAGGGATTTGCAAGTGTTATCCCGTTTGAATTTTTCACCCTGTGTGATAGTATTATTACTCCCATTTTCCAGCTTTCTCAGATTAGCCAGGGTTTGGGGTTAAATAGGGTCACGGTGACAGTAAAAACTGTATGGTCCTTATGATCACCCCTTCCTCGGTGTTGTCTAGACTTTGGCATCCCTAACGCTGCATTAAGTTGCTGTTCCGACATCACTTGAATAGGCTATAGCACGTACAGATTTCAACTTTCTCCGATGACACACAGGTGGGCAATCCCAGAGTTTCACCCCTCCTCCAGTCCGCCCCCATAAGCAGCCCCAGGAGGGGCTTCTTGGCACATAGCTTGGAAAGCAACACGCACGTTACACAATGTTGATGCACCCCCGCAGCCTGCCCATGCCACAAACGGAACACTTGCTTATTTGGGACAATGTCACAAAAGTCATCAATCTCATGGCATTGTGCCTCCATAATGATAACAAGAATACTAGCAACAGAAATACTAACAGTGAACATTTCCTAAGCATGCGCTGACTGGCAAGCACCCTGCTAGGCACTTTACACGCATCATCTCATTTGGTCCCCACAACATCGCTAAGAGATTTCAGCACTCCATCTTCATCAGCGAGGTAACTAAGGCCCAGAGAAGCTTAATAACTTGCCTCCTGTCACACAGATTGCTGGGTACAGAGCCCCCTACTATGGCATAATGTGCTATCTCACTGTGCTAGAATGAGCCACCTTGTCTGCCTTTTCTACCTCTTAGTCACATCACCAACACAGCCCCCACCACCCACCACCCCCACCACCAATCTCCAGCCTGGACAGCCCCAGAAAGGGGCATAGGAAGAAAAATGTTAGCCTCCTACTGGCACCTTGGTTGCCCTAATAATTAGCACAATGGGAAAGATAAGTCAAAAGAGCATTCATAGATGTCCATTTCCCATCTTCAGAAAAATCCCTGAACATGCTACAGTTCCCCACCAGGCAAAACCCGGAAAGATCTTACCTTGCCAGTTAGGGAGAAGAGAGTATGTCCTCTGCGCCCCTGGCTCTTTGGGTCTGGCCAATTTACTTATGCCCCATGCCCAGCCAGTTCATTAAAGTAAGACCCAGTACCAGCAGCTGTTCTCTGCAATCTCCCTTAGCTATCCCCTGCCACGCCCCCCTCCTGCCCGCCAGCCAGCCAGCCAGCCTGCCCGCCCACCCGCCCCACTGCTCCTGACTTGCTAGTGCTTGCTCCGTCTCTCTGGTCCCAGATTCCTGCCTCTATATAGGCTCTGACATTTGCCTCTGGCCGCCTTTCATTTGACAGCCCTCCAGAAGCTCCGCTTTAGCACTTGGCCTATGCAACTCCACCCCTTTTCCCCCTCACCCCCAATAGTTGCGCCAGCCCCCTCTGCCTGCCTCTGGCTGTCCCAGAGAAAAGAGGAGATTCACGCAATTCCACAGATGAGACAGAAATGAGACATATCCTCTGCAGCTGAGCAGACCCAGGAGTCTGGGGATCCAGGCTGCGATGTGGAAGTGTGGGCAGAGGGGGAGGTGTTGGGGGGGGGCAAGGGGAACTGGGGCTGGAGGCTGAGTGCAATGATCAGGAGAATTCCAAGGGTTGGGGGTGCAGGGAAACCAGGCTTTGAGAGGATGGGCCGTGGGTGCTATTAATAGAGGCCTGCCACGGTAATAATAAAAAGCCAATTTGCCCCCGTGTCAGATACCCAGAAGGAAATCTGACAACCCGTGTCCCCACCATGGGGCTAGAATTTGATGGCCAAGGCCCTGGAGTGTGCGGCCAGCCGGCACATAAAGCACGCCAGTCCTGAGCCTACCAGGTGAGGGTTTGCTCACAGAGGCAGTCTCCCACCTGCTTTCCACAAGTGGGGCACAAGGTCAAGGTCGAACTAGCAGAATGGTTTACCAGAGCCCTCAAACTTTCCGAATCATGATCCTTTTAACCACCAGAGGCAGGGCAGAATTGGTCCCTGAGGCCCCCCACAAGGCACAGCCTTCAGGTGAAGTTCAAGTAGCCCAGGTAGATAGGGACGCAGAGTCTGAGGGTTGGTGGCGGGAGGCATTCAGGTTATTTGCAAACCTTCCCATGCTCACCATTAGCCACCAACACTACCCAGACAGTCAGGCTTAGAGAAATTGCTACCGAGTCCCAGAGCTAGTCAATGACAAAGATCCAACTGGGGCCCTGGGTCGATGAGGACCCCCAGATCATTTCCTCTCTTTGGAATCAAACAAGTGACTGGAAAGGCTCCAAGCATTCGACTCACTGCCACCTTCCTTCTCCCACCCCCACCAGTGGCTGACTTATGGTGATAATAATCGTAATAGTAATAGTAATACCACCAACTGACTTTGATTGAGCTCGTCCCACATGCCAAGAACTGGGCTGAGGGCTTTACATTCTCTCATTTGACCCCGTGAGCTCGGTCCTATTAATTCCCATGTTACAAAGAAGAAAACTGAGCCCCAGTGGGGGAACTGCCATGACCACAAGCACACAGCTCCGTTGGACCCCAGAGCTCCTCCCTTTCCCCTAAACCAAAAGATACTCCCAGGAAAGCCGACAACAGCAACAACTATGTACTTCACCAGGAAAGCAAGCATTTACTGTGCCAGGCCCTGTGCCAAGCCCTTTATGTACAGGGTCTCATTTGTTACTCATAACAACTCTATGAGGTTGATATGATCATCACCTTCATTTCCAGTTGGGGAACCAGAGGCACAGAGAGGTTAACTAGCTTTCCCAAGGTCACACAGCTAGAAAGCACAGTTGTTTAGGATCATAAAATTTTGGCAATGACCTCAAATGCCGGTGTTAAAACACACTTCATTGAATTGTTAAACAAATTGTGGTGGATCTGTAGCAGCCATTGAAACTGGTGAGCTGATCTTTATAAGATAACTACCTATATTTTTGCACTGAAAAAAAAATACAGTCTGGAAGGACACAGAGCAGAACGTTAACAGTGACCGTACTTGAGTGGTAGAATTAAAGGGGATTTTTACTTGTCTTTTTCTTATCTATGTTTTCTCGTTTGTCTATAACGGACCCATATTACTGGTGTCCTAGGGGAAAAAATGTTTTCTTTTGCAAAAAGGTGTGTTCCCCTGGGGTTCTATGTCTAGCCCTCTCTCCTGCTCTCTCCACGGGCTCTCTCTAGGGATCCCCAACATCTCCCCGACCCAAGCAACCTTTCTCTCCCAACACACTTAAGGCTTCCACTACTTGGCTCCTCAGTCAGCAGTGACCTCTGAGAAATATCTCCAATGGCTTGCATTTCTTCTGCATTTTATTCTGCTCTGTTTTGTTTTGAAAAGCAATTTCTCACTTGTCCAACTTTTATTTCTACCCGATAATTATACAAATAATCGAGGAATAAAATCTGGAAATCCTACATGCAGATAAAGCGAGTCCTGATCCTACCCCACCCCCTATCCCCTCAAGTCCCATTCCTCCGTCTGTTCACAGTTGGGTGTGTCTCCTTCCAAACTTTTTCTAGCTGCAATGGCATTCAGAGTTCATATCATGCAATTGCTTGCAAAACCCAGTGTGTGCAAAGAGCTACAGTTGGAAAACCATTCTGGCACTGGCCACTCCAGGATTCCAAGTTCTGGTCTATGGTGACTGTTCGTCATCGACCTCCTTCGAAGGAGGCTAGTGAGAGAGACATGGCCCTCACTGCACACTCTGTCCATTTGGGGCACGGACTTGCATTTTATTAATACCAGTGTCTCTCCGAACACAGAGAGGGGAGGCCTTCTAAGGCAGGAAAAGCCCAGAAATTGCTTCTTAGCATCTCTGAGGTTCCTCACGTCCTGCCCAGTCTGCACTGATCAATACAGCTAGGAGGTGTCTTGCTCCTGCCGCCTCACAAAAGGTAATTGAGTTTGGGGGATTGCATGGCTAGCTGCTCGGGGAAATAAGAATAAACAAGAGACGGTTCAATATGTCAACAAACAGCTTTCCGGCTCTTGAAAATAAACCTTTCCCTAGATTCTCAACAATATGCTCTCCCCCAGCCCCAGCAAACAGGCGCCTGGATAACTGAAAATAGACCACCTCAGGATTAAGAAATACCTGGTTGACTTCAGAGTCTTTTGCCTTCCCTGGTCAATTAGGGAGGAAGAAACCCTCCTCGCCCCGCCTTTCTCCCCAACAGCCCTGACACTTGAAATGCCCACCCGGCTCTTTATAAATAGAGGAGTGGGAGGGGGGTGGAAATAGCCAGCATTTACAGAACGCTCACCCCGCCAGGCAGTGTGTTAAGCACTTTGCATACATTACATTATTTCTTGCCCCATAAGCCAATGAAGTGGGGTTTTTTAACCCCCTCCCCCTTTTATAAATCAGCTAAGGAACTGAAGTAGAGAGAAAATAAAATCAAGTAACTTACCTTGGCCCTCACAGCGGAGAGGGTGAAGCTGTGCTTGTCACTCGGATCTGTCTGACTCAGCTGGTGCTCTTAACTCACGGGAGAGTCACAACACTGTCTTCAAGTCTGTGAAGGGCTGTCATATGGAAGAGAGGGTAGGTGTGTTCTGGGTAGCTCCAAAGAGAAGGATTTGACTGTTAGTTGGGAATTACGCTTTCGTTGCATGTGCGGCAAATTCCCCAAACAACATGTATATGCATGTCCAACTCTATAGGGAAAATTATAAGAAGAGCAAACGGAACTGCTGTCTTGAAGGGTCTGTGGAATTGGAGAGAACAGGAGGGATACCGGAGGACTGCAAATGGGCAGCGTCCCAATTTTCTTAAATAAGGAAACTAGAGACCGGTATACTGTAAACTCCAGAGCTGTAAGCTTGATGTCAACCCTCGGAGAGATTCTGCTGCAGATTATGGAGCAGGTAATTTATAAGCACTTAGGGCATAAGTGCTCATAGGACATACCCAGAGTGGCTTCTCAGACTCGCAGCCCTTGCAAAGCAAAGAACTGGGGGACAGACCGTGTGCTGCTGGATTTTTATTTTTTATTTCCAAGGAAAGACATTAAGAACGAAAACCAAACAACCCTAAGTTATCATTTCAGAAAAAAAAATAGCAAGGGCTTACTTTAAACATCAAAAGAGAAGGCAGTGCTCTCAGAATAAAGGATAGTCGTGGAAATAAAAAAGACTTCACTTTACAAAACACGGACTACATAGTCCTCGGGCTTTCTCTTTGCACAGAAGGCTGCTGCAATTTTCCTGGAAGGCGGGCACTTTTCCAGGGACCTGCTTTAGGGACTCACTCAGAGCTAAAATATCAACACAGGTAAGATCAGATACCTATATGACAGAAAGTCTCTCTGGCCAGAAGAGGGAAGAGCAGAGTTTGACCTTAGCCTAAGCGAGGACACTACCGTTAGATAAAGCGTGCGCAAGAACAAACGTGAGAGAAACAAAAGCTGTCAAGCACAGATTCAAGCCCAGCTGAGACAAGTCTTAGCCAATACATCTGACCTATGCCACCCCTTGGACGACGCAGCCCTCATGTCTGATACGTGCCTGAAGCCATTAAGCCCTTGGACCACAAACCAGTTTCCGACTGTCTTCCCGAGGCAGAGTTCCTAAAGGTGGATCAATTCAAAACCGGTTCAATACCATTACCAGAGTGGGGTTCTTTGCACAGTGACCTAGAAGGAGGTCAGCATTTTTATCAATGGCGTCAATAAGGGCGCGAATGGAAATCTTACACAATTATTGGAGGGCTGAGAAGACCTGCCATGAGCAGCCTAAGAAGTTAGGTTTACATTTTAAATGTGGTTTACAATCCATCTCTCCGTATTTGGTCATTTTCTCTCCTGTGCTCTGTTGCGCACGCACTAAGTTCTTGCAATTTGCGCTCCTCGTGGAAAATGCTTAGTGAACACATGTTAGCTGGGAGCTCCATACCTTGCAGAGCAGATAGGGTCCTCTGGACAAACTGCTGAGCATTCATCTCTTTCCTGTCAGTTGACATTGACCTTGTTCCTGAAGGTGAGTGCAGTGCAGTATACTTGACCTTGTTCCCATACTTTCCCAAACTGCGTCTCTCCAAGTGTGGTCGGGACCCTCTGTGTTAGCCGCCCCCTAAGAGGACTGTTACAATGGAGATGCAGATTTGGGGGGTGGGGGGAGTTGAGGGGCAGAAGCGGGGAGGCGCATTGCACTTTCCCACAGACTTGGTAGGTCTAGGGTAAAGCCAAGGAATCCGCATTTTGACCCAATCGATTCTGCTTGACGCACCCTAGAGTATTAGAACCATTGGCTTAGAGGCATCGTGCAGCCTGATTTTTCCATCCGACAAGCCTGGGCTTCGACCCCAGCATTTAATGACTCCGCCTCAGTTTCCTTGTCTGTAAAGCAGGGAGAGTAACAGCACCTACCTCACAGGCTCTTGGAATGTTTTAAACAACAAAACATGTGTCAAGTGTCTGGCACTTAGGTGAGGCTCAGTAATCTCTCCTGGTCCTGCTTTATTCGTGGGCCCTGCGTCTCTGTGTTCGGCTTCTATTCCAGGTGCCAACTGTTCCCTCTTTCTAGGGCTCCTATTCAAACTCCCCAAGCGCCAGACTCTCATTGGCCCAAACTTCGTCACCACTGTGCTTGTCAGGCAAAGTTCTCATCCTGAAGTCCCTCATAGGCTGCTTGCCAGCCTATAGAGTGACTGCTCTTGGATCAGATGCCCTCTCCTGGCTCAATCGGCTATTGCCAGGGGGAAGCCGGGTCACGTGGTACCAAACATAGCCACCTATTCATAAGAAACTGCTACTTCCCCCAGCTAGGGTCTGTGGATGGAAACTCCTTAGAAGGGGCCCGTGGGTGTGGCAGGAATTCTGAGGCTTAGCCCGCCCAGTACACCTAGGCTTCTCATTTATCCAGCCTGCCAAAGGAACGAAGCGTTCAAGTTCACTGAAGTCTCTCTTGAATTCCTACTTTTCCTCTCCATCAGGCCAGGAATGCCAGTCTTCAGAAAACAACGAGACCACAGGCAAGGGGGAAAACAGCTATCGCCACCACTGCCACCGCCACCACAACAACCACACTAACCCTAAAATGAGACTGTCTGTTTCTAGAAGACGTCTTTCAGTTCTCAAAGCACTTTTGTGTCTATTTCTTCATCGCACAGCTTGCAAACTAGCGGTCCCAGTCAGGATCCAGACTGCTGGCAGATTTTATTTGACCCGTACAATGTTTCTGAACATTGTGTAATTAGTTGTCAACATTGAAAAGTCAGGAGACTTCCTGTAAAGAGTGGTACCCACCCAGCTATCTTGGTTAGAACCCCAGCTCTGCCTCGTATCAGCTTTGGGACCCTGGGCGGATAATTTGACCTCTCTGAGCCTTGGGATGATAACAATAATGTCTGTCTCACAGGGTTAAGGGTCTAACTAAACGACTTAGAACAATACCTGGGGTGTGGCAAGTGGTAAATATTTGTTTCTTTTTTAAAAAGACTTTATTTGAGAGGGAGGGCACTTGAGCAGAAGGGGAGAGGGGCAGAAGGAGAGAGAGAAGCAGACTCCTTGATGAACAGGGAGCCCGATGCGTGGCTCAAACCCAGGACCACGAGATCATGACCTGAGCCAAAAGCAGATAGATGCTTAACCGACTGAGCCACGCAGGCACCCCTATTTGTTTCTTTCATTCATCTACAGTGACTTTCTAACATTTACCAACATTTAACATTTCCACCATTTACCAAGAGTGGGAAGCTTGGCCCAGAGTAGCATTCTTCTGACTCTTTGCATTAATCTTTACTCTACACCCTTGCGTTAGGGTTAGGGTGGGGATTGTCATTATTTGCATTTTACAGAGGCGGGAGCTGGGTCCAGAGAAGAGAAGTGACTTCCTCAAAGTCACACAGCAAAAGTCAGGCGAGCTGGTACTAAGCACTAACTTCTGTGCTTTATCTTCTTCGACCCGCAAGGCAGCTCCAAGAAAGACAGGTGCTGAACTTTCTACCGTATTATCTGCAGATCATCCTAAAATTCTTGACAGACCTGATGAAAGGAATGAGACAGTCTGTTTGGGTGGGGACCTCACTCTTCCCAGTACCATTGGCAACAATTGTATAGACGATGCCGCCTGCTAGGAAGCCAGAGATGGGAGATTTCCCAAATCCCAAGAAAGTCACAGAACCCCTACTATTTGCTCTTTTCTGTTGATTTTTAAGAAGCCGACATTGACTTATGCCAAAGGCCGAAGGTAATGCAAAATCTGCTGGAAAGGGAATTCCACCAGTTATGAAGCATTACCTTAAAGAGACCTTTGCCCACTTATCAGTTCCCTCGTTTGAAATGCAGAAAATAGAGCGTTGCTATTTTATATTGTTAGTGCATCAGAGCTCTGGGAATGAAAGCAGCATCCCCGGCACCTCTTGCCAGCCCCCTGCCTCAGCACAGGCAAGCCTTCTGACACTGCCACCAACTCAAGCAAGTTGGAAAAGAGAAGGCTAGGCCGTGCCCCCAGGTGACCTCGTGCCTCTCCTAAGCTCATGGCTGGAGTTCCTCCTCCCCTCAACAAATCCACACTTTGATCACACACCCACAGCGACCCAGATCTTTGAATTCAGCAATTCTTTTTCAGGTTTCAGCGAGGCATTGGCAGCCTGAGCTATTTTGGGACACTTTCTCTGCTGTGGATGCCACTTTCGGAATACGCCAGGAACATGTTAAGGACCTGGAGCTCGCAGTCCTGGACCCATTTTCAGGCTCGCTCATGCTTTCTTTTTCTCCGGGCTGATCGTGTGGAGGACAGACGCTCTTGCCAACCTAATCCCGGGAGCCTGACTACCTCGCCCGGCCACAGGCTCCAAGGGGCATTGTAGCTGCCAGCACCCTCACGGTAAGGGGGCACAGAGGCACCAGGCAGCCTAGAGAGACAAATGTCCTAGGCGGGTGGTCTGAGTGTGCGTCTGGACTGAAAAACCAAGGGCTGCAGTGGGGTTGAAGAACGACAAGATTTTGCGAGCATCTTCTGCTTCCAATCATCACTTCCTAATCTGATGCAAGTGACTCGGCAGGCATTCAGGAGCCTGTGGTCTCCATTTTCCTGCCTTAAAATCCTCTGCACCTGTAAGTACCGGGGCTCACTGACGCTCACGCTGGCTTTCAGGGACGGGGTGGGGGGGCAAGGCCTTGGGGAAGGTCATCCAAATCTGATTCAGGTGTGGACAGGCCTGTGGCGTTGGAAGAATTCCTGACAACTCCCCCGCCCCCCGGCCCCGAACTGCTTCTTTAGTTGGGAGAATGAAAATGCCTCTTTGTTCTTTCCCGAGCCCCCGGCATACCAGAAACTTCACCCGTCCTTCCTTCGGGGTCTCCTGTTCATCGGTTGTTGTACACACCTAATTTCTCTTGTTGGACTTAATGGGAGAGGCACACCCTGGACATTTGAATTTCTTAAATGCCACCACAGCTGCGACTGTGGGCACAGCCCCTGCTGGCTTCTCCATCTTTTATGCAGCACTTTGCTAAAACAGTGAAAGATGTGGTAAGCGAAAGTGTATAAATGAGAATTTAGAAACTCTTGCATGGTG